TTGATCCAGCTTCTTTCACTTGTTCCATGATTCTGGAAGACTGCTTATTGGTTTATACAAGCATGGCAGGCCCCACAATTTACTTAGAATGTCTTAGGTGATGCAGAGGGGAACCTTGTAGAACTCTGGAAACAGCTGCAGTTGGTTCTTACAGATGTTGAACACAAACACTGGGAACCGGAGTGATTCAGGGCAGCAGGGGAACATGGGTTATTTCACTGTTCCCTCAATAGCAGAGTTGCATTTGTCCCCATCTTTATTACGGTGACTTGTTCTACCTGGGCTCCGCTTCTTTGTTACCAATTACTTCATCCCCTACTTTGTACGTCTCTTCTCTGCCTGATGGCTTCAGTTTACTCAGAACTTGCCCCTCTCACGGCCCCTCAGGGCTTCTTTCTACACCTTGAGAAGCCTTTCTACACCTAGCTTCTGCACCTACCACGTGATTGATTTTCTCTTCCCATTTCCAGTTCATATTCTTGAAAGAGAGCGGGCTTAGGTAGTCACCGCCACCCCTGTTTGGGTGGAGTGTTCACATCGTTAGGCCTGGCTTCCCTTGACGAGCATGGTTCTAAGAAGGGGGTTGTGTGGCGAAGATCACGCCTGTGGCCTCCGCCGGAGGCACTGGCTGAAGCGGCTTTCTTAGAAGGGGAATCTGGCACGGCACAGCAAGACAGAAAGAACTCTCAGCACATTCTTTTTGTTTTAAGTTTTTAAAAAATATGTTTTAACATGCTTGCCACTAATGTAACACATTCTTCATATTTTTTTTTCAAGGTAAAATTCTTTTAACTCTTTCACTTAAAATAGTCATGGTACATAGAAACAAAGAATAGACTGGTGGTTACCAAGGACTAGAGACTGGGGAAAATGGGTAGATACTACCGGTCAAAGGGTACAAATTTCTAGTTATGAGATGAATAAGTTCTGGGATGTAATGTACAGCATGCTGATTACAGTTAACAGTACTGTATTGTATACTTGGAAGTTGCTAAGGGGGTAGATCCTACATGTTCTCATAACAGCAGCCAAAAAGAAAAGAAAGTTAACCCTATGAAGTAGTACAAGTATTAACTAACCTTATTGTGGTAATCATTTCACAGTCTGTATATATCAAATTATCATGCCACATATCTTAAACTTACACAATGCTATATGTCAACTCTATCTCAAAAACTTGGAAGAAAATTGTCATATTACCCAGATGTTTTACAGCTAACTTTAATAGAAATATATTTGAGCTAAATCTTTCTTCAAGTTTCTGAAATTTAATATCATAAAATATATAATGTTCAACTGGCTTTGTAATGTTCAACTGGCATTTAATAAAGTTATTTGCAAGAAGGTAAAAACATTTTAATAGCTAGTGTAGAATTATGCCTGTGGATACTAGAGACTAGCAAAGATGGGTAGTTAAGGTTTGGAATATGCTGACTTTCATAAAGAGGTTAAAAGCATTTCCCTTTTGAAACAGAATGTTCTTGGGCATTTTCCTAGTGCTTTGCTACTAAAATATAAATGGTTATGTGTAACTGTTAATTGCAGAGTGTTACTGTTGGAAATTGTTTTTGTATGCACAAATTGTGACAGGAAAGTGGACCGCAAACATAAACTTGAGTTTTGGTTTTACTCTGACTTAGAAGGAAGGTGACTAAAATTGCTTTCTGTATCATCTTACCACTGTAAAACAGGAAGTGAAGTCAGCCAATAAATTGCTTCCTCTCTTTTTTGCAGAAAGGAAACAAATATATAAATATATACAGGCAGTCTCAGTTTCTTGCCACTCAATCCATCCTATGTACAATCTTGATTTAGTGTTAGTGAAATGTTATGATGTCATTCCCCTGTTTACAACCCTGGGAGTATGTTAGATTCACTTGGAAAGCTTTTAAAATAAACTCTATATCCAGGCCCTGTACCCCAGTTTTCTGATTTATTTGATGTGGATATTTCTATTTTTGAAACTCATCCCAAGCAATTCTAAGGAACAGACAGCAAGCTACTAGGCAAACTGACAGAATCTGAACATGGGAGTTGGCTTTCAAGGCACTCTATTGTCTTCCTCCAACCTAGCTTGCCAGGCTCTGGCCAGTTCAAAGGCTTCCCATGTCCTCTGAACGCTGCTTATATTTCCATTCTTCTGTCTCTTTTCCAGGAATTCCAAGAGTTTCCTTCTCACACTTTCCAAATTCAAATTTCTGTCCATTTTTCAAGACATGGCTCAGTGCTTACCGCCCTCTGTGAAGCTTTGACTTCTCCAGCCACCCTCACCTGGAAGGCTTGCTCCCTAATCTGAAGTCACACAGCAGTTATTGCCTAGCACTGAACAATGAATCAGTCATGTACTGCTCTGTGCCATCTCTCCTATTGTTGTGATAAATGATGCAACTTTGCTTTACTTTTCACCTCTTTGTTACCCAAGGACCTATACTATGAGCTTCTGGCATTCCTTTGTATGCTTGACAAGTTGGTTCTGTGTATAGTGCAGGAAGTCAGTAGGTATTTGCCTCCATTTCCCATTTCCGAAGGTGTGGTTTGGCACTTTGTCTCTGCTGGAGTCTTGCCCTGCTCCTACTGGGCCTTCTTGCCAACAGACTCTCTGGCTCTTTAAATCAGGCCAACATATCCAGTGGCCCACAGGGCTGATTGCCAGTAAAACTGATTGCGTGTGTATTCCTCTGCTCACCCTTGCTCTCTCTCTATTTTTTGATCCAGCTGAGGTTTTGGCCTTCTTTCCCTCTCTGACCCTTCACTCTCCTACTCCCTATCCTCTCAGGACTTGATGGCAGAATTCAAGTTCCTGGGATTTGACTGCTTGCTTTCTGTGAGAATGTTAGACTACGACACACTCTCCGGATCTTCTTATCCCTCTTCCTTCAGCCAACACTTCCCCTAAATTACACTGCCAATCCTCCACTAGTAACCTGGTCTAGTGGAGGTGAAAGTGACAAGGAATCTAGTGACAAGGTTCCTGTCAAAGGAGAGACAGGCACTGTCTTTAGGATTCTTACCCTCTGAAAGAAAACTGATTGCATTGTTCACATGGTTATAAGCTTCTAGTGGTTCATGATTGCCTGTAGAATAAAGCGTAAGCCTGAGCTGTTCAACATGGTAGTTATTAAAATTCAGATAAAAAATTGAGTTTTTCTTCTGTGCCCAGGTGGTGCTAGTGGTAAAGAACCTGCCTGCCAATGCAGGAGATTAAGAGGTGGGAGTTTGATCCCTAGGGCGGGAAGATCTTCTGGAGAAGGGAATGGCAATCCACTCCAGTACTCTTGCCTGGAGAATCCCTTGGATAGAGGAGCCTGGTGGGCTATGGTCCATGGGGTCGCGAAGAGTTGGACACAACTTAAGTGACTTAGCAAGCATGCTGTGCCATATTTCAAGTGCTGGATAGCCACTTGTGATTATCCTATTGGACAACACAAATATAGAACATTTTCACCATTACAGAAGTCTCTGTTGGACAGTGCTCATCTACATACCTTAATGTAGCTCGTATGGCCTTTATAATCTCTCTTTATAATGTTTTGTTCTAACTTAATTTTTGGCTGCTACTTATCTTTCAAGCCTACCGACTTTCTCAGTGTTCCCCAGCTACTCAGAGCCCTTTCACAGCTCTGCGTCTTTGAACTTGCTGTTCTTGCTTCCTGAAATGTCTTTTGATTTTCTTCTCTGGCAAACTCCTATTTCCTTATTTTTTTTTAAAAAAATATTTATTTATTTGGCTGCACCAGGTCTTTAGTTGCAGCATGTGGGATTTAATTCCCTTACCAAGGATTGAACCCGGGCCCCCTGCATTGGCAGCGTGGAGTCTCAGCCACTGGACCACTAGGGAAATTCCCTATTCACCTTTTTAAGATCCAACTCAAATATTACCTTATTTGTGAAGTTCCCTGACTTTCCTAAACACAATAATTTTTCCTGTGTTCCCTTGGCTCATTGAACCTGGCTCTGTTGCCCTTATCACCATATTTTATTATTTGCTTATAAATCTGTCTATTCTCTTGGATGGCAGATCCTGATTGTTCTATAAATCTACCTTAATGAATACCTGAAGTTGTTTGCCTGATGCTCTTTCAATATTAAGTAATATGTTTTCTTACTGTGGGCTTGTTATTTATGTGTTTGCCATGTTTGAAAAGATCTTGGTGCTTTAGAAGTTCTTCTTTCTTAAAAATTAGAGTGGCTTCCTGTCTTTCAAGTTGAAAGTTCATTTTCTTTCTAATTAATTCTGATGAGACTTGAAAGGGATGTGGTAGGAGAAGTTAACAAGGTCAAAAACAGAGTAACTATATGTAGGAAACAGTTTGGATGTACTTAGGTTCCAGTCGTTACATAAAATATTTAGTATCTAGGAGAAGAGAAGGGAGGGAAGAGGAAGGAAAACAAAACAAAACAAAAACAGCTGATGGAATGGATACTGTGGAATTGTGTTTGACTTTTTCCAGACTAAGGCCAAAAGCAATGATGTAAGAGGAGAAGAGTTTATTACCATTTTGCAAAAAAGTATTTTATTACCATTTTCCTCCTCCCACCCCCCCAGCCCCCACCTCAGGATTTGATAAGATTTTGAGAAATTCTGGTGACTCAAATTACTGTGAAGTAAATCCTCCTGACCAAGAAATAAAGAAATTAAAATATCAATTAGTTTCTCTTCTGCGATTATGGTGAACGTCATTCCGAAAGGCTTATTTTCTTCTGGAAGAGCTGTAAATACTAAAGGCTGAGTCCAACAGACCTTCTCTGATCACTATCGCCTAGTTGCAGCTTCAATCTTAACAGTCAATCATCTCCCCTTTGGGACGCCGACCACGCCTTATCGCTTAGACCACGCCCACCAGGTCTCCCTCCCGCCCACCTCATGGCCCCGCCCCGGGCCTAGCAAAAGAAGATTTTCATTGGTGGAGAAGTTGCTCTGATCCCGCCCCAGCGAGCGGCGATAGGCCGAGCTGGCGTGGGGCGGTGGTGGTTGGCTGCCTGGGGACGGGTCCCTGGTCTTGCCCGTCAGAGTAGCTGGCGGCAGTGGCGGCTCTCGGGACTGGGTTGTCAGTCAGTGAGCGGAGGGGGAAGATGGCTCGCCAGGACCCGTTCTGCTAGGAAGAAGTGGGGGGGCAGGTGGTGCTGCTTATTCGGAGCAGTAGCCGTCGCTGTCGTTGCGAGCCAGACAAGTCGAGGTTCTGGAGGTCGAGCTTGGAGAGCCGCTCTGGTAAGTCCGGCAGAGAGAACCGCTCCGGGCCCCCAGGGCGGCCGGCGACCGATAACTTTTTTTGTCAGGGAGGAGCCGGGGCGAGGCGACGGCGGGGAGGGGACCGGGACTTTGTCCCCGGGGCGGCGGCTTCGTTGGGGGTAACAGCTCCGGCGCGAGGCGCCGCGGATGAACGCTAGACTGTGCTGGACGCCCAGGCGTCCAAGGGTCTGAGGGGAGGAACTCGGTGGTAGGCTGCGGCCGGCGGCTTCTCGCCCCGAAGTTGGGCGCAGCCCGCCTGCTGCCTGGGCGGCGGCAGCTTTGTGCGCGAGGACTCGGGTCTTTCTCCTTCCCCGGCGAGGAGCCTTCCGACCTCCGGGCGTGACCTGGGTGCAGCCGCCTCGCGCGGACCAGCAGCCCTTCAGCCGGGTTGCCTGGGGTGGGACACCCCCACCGCCCTGCAGCGGCTGATGCTCCGGTCCGACCTCTCCTACCCCTCCCACCCCTCCGACTCCTCCTTGCCACTTCAGCGAGGCTGCAACTACCCGTCCACTCTAATGGCCAAAATGGTCACTGTCGCCCCCCTCGTCTTTGAAAGCAACATTCTTCCCCGTTCCCCCACAAGTCGAAGAGATTCACAAAGCAGCCACGATTCCTTCCTTGGTTATTTACACTGGTGAGCTCTTCATCAGTCCTTACCCTCTTTTTATTATGAGTTAGTCCTCCCGAGGTGGTGGTGGTTTAGTCGCTAAGTCGTGTCCGACTCTTCTGATATACTCGAGAATCGTCAGGGTTTTGTCCGAAAATTGTAGCATTGAAAGACCCGCCGAAGTTTGCACGCTCTGGCAGAACTGGGTATCCCCCGCTTCGGTTTGCACAGGTGTGCGTTGTTCCCTCGGAGTATAGACGTTTCTGAAATTTTTAAATTTTGTCCTGGTAGTTTCGTACTGCACAGAATCGGTTCTCCGATACATTATCGCACGCCGGGCAGCCGCTCGGCTCTTCAGGTAGGGGGAGTTTGTTCAGCGGGCAGCTGCTGCTTATCTTCAGAGACCGTCCTACCGGCTGTAGGGCCAGGTTGTCCTTTGCAAATTATTTGTCCTTTGGATTACACAGTAGGTTTGTAGCAGGTATGCCGCCTCTTTGGTTCGTGTATCACTTTACAGTTTGAAATTTTCAACTTTTAAAACCTTATCTGCATAAAGTCATAAATATTGGTGTAAAAAAAAAATATTGACCTTGAGTCAATGTAGTAGTCCTGGGAGGCTTGTTTTTCCTAAGAACATTCTCCTAACATCCATAGATCACTGCTCTGAGTGCCCCCCCACCCCCCACCCCGTCCCCCAATTTCTAAGCATTTTTCTTTAGGTTAACACATTTTAAGTCTCAGAGCACCATATTTTTGAAGTGCAGGCAAGAAAGAAGAAAGAAAGAAAAAAAATCTTTAGGATATGCTTGGCTGGCCAATAGTAGCTTCAAAGTCGGCTGTTGTAATAATTCATTTCAACAAAGTGGCAAAGGGAGAAAAATCATTGCCTGTTTTGGAAAATAAATTCTGGATTTGGCGTATTTATCCTTTTTTGATTTACTATAGTTATAACAACAAAGGGTTTTAAACCCTCTTATTTACCAGCATTCACAGTATCTGGGTATGGACATCAGATGAAGCATTGGTTAAGTCAGTGTGTTATCCCTGCTGTGCTTCGTTTTTTTCTTGTATTCCTGTTTGATGAAATCTGCTCTCCATTGCATTTTTAGAGCAGTGGTGTTTTGACAGTCAGAGTTTAATTATATCTTGTAGTCAACTGTTTTATTCAGGATCTTGTTGCCTGATATTTATTTTATAATGAATATTAGGAGATCTTTTAAAAAATGTTAGTATCAAGACCATTTTGGCGCTATCAAGTTTGCATCTTGTAAATAATCAAAATTATGTCAGACATAAATTTGCATTACCCCAGGCCGAATAGGTATACAAAATGAATGTATCCAAAAATGAATGTCACAGCTCTTGTCATCAAGGAACTTACTATGTCATATACAAGACAGGTAAGTGAAGTAACAATTATAATACTCTGTGATGAGTGTGAATAGAGATTTGCCTAGCATTGTAGGTGAGCAGAGTAGGAGATGGCTAACTCAGCATGGATGTATGTAAAGTTGGGGGCACATAGTAGAGCTTTAAAGTATGGTATAAGTTTGCCAAGTGCACGAGGTGAGTGAATACCTTTCCAGGAAAATAGAGTAAGTGAGAAAACAAGGAGGCAGGAGCAACCCTGGCAGTTTAGAGACGTCATTGTTGGTGACAAGTCCAAAGTTAGTAACATTGGTCTTGACTTGAATGCGAGGGTTAGATGGGAAAACGGTGGAAGATGAGAACAGTGAGGGTGATAGAGGGCCAACCCAGTATGTTGTATCCTTGGCTAAGGGGATTGCATTGAAAATGATGAATAAGGAACCATGTAATGGATTTGTGTTTTGGATTCTAATTCTGGTAGAGTGAGGTAGAACCTGATAGATCCTGTCACCTCAGGAAAGAAAAGAGGAAGAATCAAGAATCTTGAGGGTTTGACTTGGTTCCGTTGATTGGAAATGAGTTTCATGTAGATAGAGGGAAGATGATGCATTCTATTTTGGATTTGTTTGAATTTGAGGAAACTATGGGACATTCAGATGAAGATGTAGATAGGTGTTTGAATATAGGATGTGGAACTTGTAAAGGAAATCAGGAATAGAGGGACGATGAGGGGGTTGAATTGAAGAAGCTATATTGATTTGGGTATGTTGAAATGACTCAGGTTGGAAAAGACTTTAGCATAATAAAAAGCAGCAATTGGAGAACAGACAAATAAAAGGTAGATAAGTGGAAGAATAGTGTGAAAGAGAATTAGTTAGAAAGTATTAGTTAGAAAGATAGGAGGAACTTCAAGAAGGATGCCAAGGGTGGAGAAGTTTTCAAATAGAGGAGGAATGGGTCAACAATTTTGAAGGCTTTAAAGAGATGTCAAGTAAGAAGAGGACTCCAGGGACCAATGAATTTGTCAGGAGTTCATAGGTGACTTTAACAAGTACAGCTTTAGCTGAGTAGTGGTTCAGAAACTAGTCTCCAGAAGACTGAGAAAGAATGTTGTTTGGTCCGACTCTTTGTGACCCCTGGGCTGTAGCATGCCAGGCTTCCCTGTCCTACACTATCTCTTAGAGTTTGCTCAAACTCATGTTCTTTGAGTCCATCCTGCCATCTCATCCTCTGTTGCCTCCTCCTTCTCCGGCCCTCAGTCTTTCCCAGCTTCAGGGTCTTTTCCAGTGAGTCGGCTCTTTGCTTCAGGAATGGATGATGAAAAAGTAGACATGCTTGCATGAGGCATTTTAAGAAAACTAAGGAAGGAAGAGAGAATGACAGCCTTAGAGCAGTGGTCCTCAACCTCATCTACACATTTTCAAATCATCTGAGGGAGCTTTTGAGTCCTGATTTCAAGGGGGAACCCATATACCAATTTGAGGAGTGGAACAGGACCCAGACTTCAGTATTTATTTCAGTAGCTTTATGGGAGTATAATTGGCCTGTAATAAACTACACATATTTAAAGTGTGCCATTGAATGTTTAACATATTTATATTCTTTAAACCCATCACCACAATCAAAATAATGAATATATCCATCACCTCCAAAAGTCTCCTAGTGCCCCTTTGTAATCTCTCTCTCAATCCCTGAAACCACTGGTCTACTTTTCATTACTATAGATGAGTTACATAAATATTTCACAGTTCCTTAGGAAATTCCATAGGCATAGTTGAAACTTCTGCAGAGGGATATGAGTTGAAGGGATATTATGCTTGGATTTTTTTTTAATATGCATAAGAAAAGTGAGAAGTAAGAGGAAAAATGAGATACCTATTGGAACTAAGTTCCTGAGGAAATAGTAGATGGAATTCAGAGCTTTGACCAGTAAAGAAAGGAAGACAATATCTTTAACAAAGAATATGATATTAAAGATAGTGTATTTTTTTGCTATCAGCATCAAGGTTGTTATCATGTAGTATCAAGATTGGTTCTCAGAAGTACTCAGAAATAATTAGCATCTTAGTGTTATGAAAATGAATGCCCCGTAGAAAAACCCCTTAAATGTAGGCCCTGGCACTACCATGTAATGCTTTGTCATTTTTTGGAGGGGAGCAGATGGAATTAACAGTTTGACTATTGCTTACTGTTGAGAGCCAAGTACTGCTAGACTCTTTTTGACCCCCTTGGAGTTAGGCTGCATGTCCATACTGGGGAAAGAGAACATTTAACGTTTACAAATCTCCTGTTTAAAGCATCTTTGTTCAGAAGAAATCCTGCTTACTTGCCCTTTGGATATATGCGCCCTTTGGATATATGCCTTTTAAACACATTGGAGGAAAAAATCATTCTTCTCTCTACCAAGGGAGACGTAGAAGAGTTGTGATTGGAAGTTGTCAAAGGCCCACACTTTGTATCCTGAGAAAGGTAGTGTCTATATCCCACACTGTCCCTTCCACCTTTTTTAAAAATTTCAGGCTCAAGTTTTAGATGTAGGTGAAAGCTGAGCCCTGCTGGTTCTGAGGTCCAGGGTTTGTTCATCACTTGATTCTTACTACCTTTGGTAGGAGCTGAAAGCAAAGAGTTAATATCTAAATGTTATTTGACACTGCACTTGACCATAAATAAAGATGGGAGTGAAAACTTTTGTCTGATTGTTTCCTAGAGTTCTGAAAATCTCTTTCATTGTATTGTTCAGTTACTAAGTTGTGTTTGACTCTTTGTGACTCCATGTACTGCAGCATGCCAGGCTTCTCTGTCCTTCACTATCTCCTGGAATTTGCTGAAATTCATGTCCATTGAGTTGGTGATGCTATCTAACCATCTCACCCTCTGCTGCCCCCTTCTACTTTTGCCTACAAAATCTTTCATTGTGATTAAAGTGTGAAAATATGATCAGATACAGAGAGGGTAGGCCTCCCTAGTTTTGGTGCAGCCTATGTAAAACTCAGCAGTGGCCACA